ACATCATACCATGACATATTGCATCACAATATATTATATCATAAACAAGTCATAACGTAAACACTTCGTAGTCATATTGTTTTCTAACTTATCATAGCCTTAACATTCTTATACCTATCACAGACATATCATTACGTGAACGTACCTTAGTCATATCATCACAAGAACGTAACCTAACGCTATCGTTCTATCAATCTATCACAAACCTATCCCTTTCTACCCATAACCTAACTGTATTCTTCCATCAATCTCTCTTATCCATATCACTTCGGTACGTAACCTAACATTAACGTTTCATAAACGTATTTTACTCCTATCGTAACATTTCGTTTTGTGCATCCTTCTCGTATCCTATCTCAAACATACCCTTGAACACATCATACCGTAATTATTATCATACAATTCACATATTATAACATATACATAATATACAAGAAGCATATCGATCCACAAACAATTCACACATATCAATATATATGACACGTGCAGAATCATAGGACACGTGTCAACATCAAATATAACCATGTCGATAGTAAGGTTACTTACCTGGCTAGCTTAAGTCGTTGTCACAAATATATCGTTAATGAAAGTTTGATTCCGTCTTTTGAAATCCGAATCAACCTATGTGAGTCCATGAAATCCGTTTCAAGTTTGAAATCTACAAGATTATTTATCTAATATACATAGGTCCATTGTTAAAAGTCTTGAAATGTTATATGTCTATAATTATATTTTTATTAAAAGTCTTATTTTTTCATGGTTACGGTTGTATAAAAAGTAATACAACTCTTTAAGTTATCCTGGCTTTATTACTCTCTATATTTACCTTTCTCTATATTTAATTTGTGGTTTTTAATTCTTAATCTTTTTTTATAGGTTGCCTCTTAATTTTGTTCTACAAATCTTTCCTCAATCTCCATTCTCTCTCTTTGTAATTATTTTCATTCCATAAATTGTTTTCAATTATGTAAACAAGATTTCTAACCCTATATTTATTTTCATTAGTAAACACATATTATTGGCCAATTTTAATCTATTGTTTGGCTCGTACACATTTATAGATCCGACAACTAAAATTTTATTGATTCTAACTTATTTCCTCTAACTTCAAATGCTAACAAAAAAAAATCTAATTAATTGAACATGGATCTGATTACTACAGGATTTGGTAAAATATGAAAGAAGATTTGATCCTAAATTAATTTATAACGATAGGAAAAAGGAAATATGAGATAGAATTTTACAGTAATAACAAACCAAAATCTATCTACGTAAATCTTCATCATATCTACTTTTGTTGAAACGTCATTTTAACATTTTTTTGTTTATTTTTATTTTGACCAACTGTGATATTGTGAGGTTGAAGAAAGAGGATGCGGTTGAGATGAGAGGTTAGTGGGGAGAGATGTGTAAATTTTATTTTTATTTTTATTTTCAAGTACTCTTTTTAGTTATTTATTTATGTATTATTATTATTATTATTTTGATGTATATATATATATTTTAATTATTTTTTCTTGTTTATTTATTTTTATTGTTTTCTTTTTGGGCTATTACATCAACACAATCATACGCCAGGACAAATCAAGTTTTCCAATCTCCTATCATGTTTCTAAGGACACTAACGGGCAGCAAATCATCGTCATGCATAGTCATCTTAGTGCATTTGCTTACAAGATAAGCCGTTTGAATTTTTCGTTTTACTGAGTTTAAGTCGATCATTCATTACTTACAATGGTCATATAACATGCTCACAGTCATTTTTTTGAAGTTCTAGTTGATTTCCTATAAGTATTTGTTCAAGAAATATCCAAACGATTACTTACATGTTTAGACATGTTCGAAGGGCTCGAGCCCTCTAGCTTTCTTAGCCTTCAATTCCTTGAAATCCCCTCAATAAGTCCCATAGTGAGTCATAAGACTAGAGCCAAGATTTATGAGAACCAGTCAATTGGGATTCAAATAGGTTAAAGATCATTGTTCGTTCATGAAATGAGATGTATGCTTACTCACCGGTTCAAGCATGTTTAGAAATCCCATGTGTCATGCCTTTGAGCTCCAAGCGTCTTGGATTGGCATTGTTCCTTATACTTTGGACTTGTCTTGGCTCCAAGTTTGTTCATTGTTGAATTACTAAGACAATATTGTCTCCACAGTCCTTTAGATATCGTCTACACCTAGTTGCCACAAAAGCTTGATATAAAAGATTTTGAAAGGCACAAAGCAACAACTTTCATGGGACAAGGCATTTTTTTCGTCTACACCATTCATTCAATCTGCTTGGTTGGATGTTCCGTGGAAGGAAACTTAAATTTATATTGATTTTGTGTGTAGTAGCGTATACTTTCTGATTAATACGATTCTTGTCTTCCCTTGAAACTTTAACTTGTTTTCAAAATCACCATATATTATTTTTATTTCTTCCTATCGTCTTTTCGAGTGTAATTACAACATTTATTTTAAATTCTATATGAACTAAATTTAGTCGTTTATCCAATTCTATTATTTTTAAGTTCTTAGTTAATCTTTCAATTTTTTTTATTTGGCATTGATAACAAAGCAAGTCTTCCCTAATAAGCAAAGACAGGTAGGAGATAATGGCAAAATGGTTGGAGTTTCGACCACAAAAAAATTTATAAAATACTACTCCTTTCTATTGCTTGAGAATGACAAAATTGTTGGAGTTTCGAGAATCAAGTTTATTTGTTCTATTGCTGGGGATTTATTGCGATAATGAACGAAGGTGGAGGATATTTATAATCTATTCCTAAAATTTATCAACTTTTCAAGTATCTAAATTATTTTCTTAAATTTATTCGTAAAATTAGTTTTATCTGTGGGTTAATATATTTATATTATAAATAATGTATTTTAAAATAGTACGAAATACTATGTTTTTGAGTCCAACTAGTACTGTTCTGACATATCCTTTAATATCGATTATTAGGTTAGCTTCTTAATATAATTCATAAACTTTTTGTTTGGTTAAAATTTAATTATTATTGTTTTATTTTTTTTTTTAAATTTAGTTAACGTTTAAAATTAGGTTAAAAGTTTGATGGTAAAATAACTCTTGAATTAAAAAAAAAAAAAAAAA